TGGGGTTTTATTATTCTTTGTAAAGTGAGTGGATGAACAGAGCGATGACTGCAGTGGAAGTGACAAAGCGATGAAGAAAAACAGGCTAATAATAGTAATAATAACAATAAATGAATCTTGAGTTGCTTAAACCCTGCAGTGTATGGCAAACAGACACCCTGCAATGTATGGCAAACAGACACCCTGCAATGTATGGCAAATAGAAACCTTGCAATGTATGGCGAACAGACACCCTGCAATGTATGGCAAACAGACACCCTGCAATGTATGGCAAAGAGAAACCTTGCAATGTGTGGCAGACACCCTGCAATGTATGGCGAATAGAAAGTGCCACCTCTCTGCTGTTGGCCTTTTACCTGTGTGTGCTGTTCTGGTGCTGGAAAGGAGTCTTCTCTCATTGTTTCCATTGGGAATTGGAAGCAGGAGAGAGATCCCGAGGTTACAGCTTTATCTAGGGCCATTTTGAACGAGCTGGGTATTAAAGGACACGTCAAGATTGCACCCAGCACTTTACCTTGGATGCTTTGCTGGTAATGTGGTTAGTCAAAAAAACCCCAATTAAACAGCAGCCAGACCTCTGCAGAAAGCCAGGCACAGGAGGAGGGCACACCGGGGTGAGGGTGCCACAGGAGGGATCTTTTCTTCCCCTAAAGTATTTCGTGCTGTCCCTAGCTCTGATGTTACTCAAACTCCAGCAGCCCATTCAGGGTAATTGGCTGCCTCGAGGTGCGCTGCCAGTCCCAACACTGTCACAGTGAAGCACCATGGCTTTTCAAAGCGAACTCCGCGATTGCAGAGACGTTTCTCGTGTTCTCGGCTGCAAACAAGCGCGGGTACGGACACAGATACAAGGGTTTTCCTCTCCAGTGGAATTTACAGCTCTATTAAGTGTAGTAAGTGCCACGTGTGCTCAAGCGTCTGCGTACTCCTGGACCGAAACGCGCTCCAAATGCCCTCGGAGAGGGATCCCTGCAATTAAACAGCATCGCTTAATGGGTGAGGCAGAAAGAAGCTTTTCTCTGTGTTTTCAGAAATGCTTTCTGGGTTGGGCTGGACTCTGCAGCGCCCTCAATCTTGCTGAAAGAGGCTGGATGTCATCCTGCTTAGTGGCGTCCTGATGGATTGGCGCTTTAATTGCATGAGCCGTATGACCGCGCATCGCAGGTTATGGCTGGGCACGGAGCGCTTCACATCCATGTGCTTATGGACAAAAATGGACTTGCAGCCTCACTGAAGTCTTTATGTATTTTTTCCCTTTCCGAAAACACAGCAGCTCAAGGTGGATGTTTTATTTTGCTCTTTTCTTCAGCAAGAGGGGCCCAATATTTACCATTATTTGGTGATTTCTGAATAACCAACCCCGCTGTTCTCTCTGCTTTGCCCTTTTCCCCTGCTGTTTTCGGGACGGCTTCAAACCCCGATATTTTTATCAACGCCGAGTCGTACTAATTGACGAGAGAGGGGAAGATCAGTGAGGGAGAAAATAATTAATGAATTGTGAGAAAAATAAATTAGCAGACGCCGAAAATGAAAGGACTGTGAAATATGAAACGAGTCTTTCATTGCCCTGAACAATGTAATTATGTAGCTAAACAAGTTTCCTCCAAATGCTCAGGTCTGGTGTGCACTTGGGCTCATGGGATGTGCTCCCACTTCACCACGTTCCTGTTCCGTGAAGTTTGGGTTGGGTACAGCGTGGTAATTATCCTTGGGTATCATGTACAATAGGAAACTGTGGGTATGTGTGGTACACCCAGAATTATCAGCTTGCTGCTGTAAGGAGTAGGAAAAGAAAGAAATTACAGGGCCTTTTTGATAAAGTTTTGGTGTACAGGAAAAGATGGGGAATGGCTTCTTTCCTCTTTCTTCTCCTCTCACTTCCCTATAACTACTGACACAATTTGCTTTTCAGTTATGGTTATTCCTTCCCAGCTGCGACAGCAGCGTGGTTTCATCGTGTTATTTAGTGTTAGCACAGCTATTTAAATTGCAACGGATTTGAGCTGTCAGCCCAGCCCTTCATTGAACTCAGTGCTGTGCAGGCGTGAGCTATTGTGCCAGCTCATCACACCATATTCAGTTGGTGTGGCACCATATTCTGTTGGTATTGCACCATATTCTGTCGGTATTGCACCATATTCAGTCAGAAGCTGAGCTTTTGAGGATGAGAATATGAATTTATTTACCTTGGGCTGCTTTTTCTGTCCCATCTTGCTGCTTTTTTGCAGAACGGTGCCTTATTTTCGGTGCGGTGCTGCAGCTCAGCATCCTCTGAGTCACGGTCCTGGGCTGCATCTTTGTTTGGCATCACTTGCAGAAGAGGGGCTCACACGGATGTGATGCTCCCCACCCGGATAATTCGGCGTACGGGCAGCGGTGAGCACGGGGGAGCCTCACGATATCAGCATCTGTGGTTCAAACCTCGTTGTTCTGACAGCATTAAACAGCTCGGTGCTCAGTCACACACCACGAAAAGCCAGCATGGGAACCTGTGCACCCAGCGTGGGTAGACCCTGCTGTGAAATCACCTTGCACAGCAATGGCATGGGCAGAGCACGTGGGTGAGGAGCGGTGGCTGCTGCTCTTGCAGTGCTTTGTGCCAGGTAGCGCTGAAAACTTGGAAAGAAGCCGTTCCCACTGCAGGATATTATTTGTATTTATTATTCTGCCTCTCGATTTATTCTTTGGAGAGTGCCATTACTTCTCCTTCTTCCTTTCTACTGAAGCTTTATTGTCTGTGAAATAAAAAATGTGGCGGTCAGCAGCCATAAAGCATTTTGCCTCTTTGGCACGTTCAGTAAATGCTGCGCTGTTCGCTGCCACAAAGCTGGGCTGTCTGCAGCTCCTGGTTATTTAATTTTTACTCTAATTGCTTTATTACCCAATGCCTCCTCCCTACCTGGGGAGAGGGGTCGGGAAAAGGAAAGGAGATTTGTGGGTTGGAATAGATATAAATTTATGATGATGATGATGATAATAACAACAACAATAATAATAACAATCATCATCATCATCATATCATCATCTAATATTGACAATAGTTCCAAAATACACAGTTATACTCAGTATTTTGGAGGAGTAGGCAGATATTCAAGTCCCTCTCGAGATGTCAGCCATGGAAGAAGGAGCAGGAGGAAGGTGAGGGCCATTGCCAGCAAACTCCCCAATTTGCAGTGAATTTGACATTTATGGCATGGAATAATTGTTAATTAATCAGCCTGGGTCATCTGTTCCTCCTAACTTCTGCACCCAAGACCTTGATCACGGTGGCACCCTGCATCCCAGAGCTGGCCACCAAGTCTGACCGACTTTATTCCCACGCAATATGTTGTATTCCTGCCAAAACTGCACTTTTCCTCACCAGGAAACTGCCTGTAAAATCCAGGCTCCCAGTCTGGTGGTGGTGGCCTCGTTCCAGCTCCGGACCTGAAACGTGTGGGTGCAGAGGTGCTGTGCCCTTCGTGGGTCCCTTTGGGGTGCAGGGGACGACACTGGCCCGGGCAAAGGGATTTTTCTGGGCTGTTAGTGTCACAGCTGGGTGTCAGCTCGTGTTGGGTGAATCCTGCTCTGACACAGAGGAAATGTGCCCTCCCTGGTGACTCCTAATTACAGCCAAATTAGGAGTGTGTGGCAATACACTCAGCAGTGCTTCCTTGCCAGGTGTCATCTGATGGGGACGTGTTCACGGCGATATTTGAGCGTTGGCTTGCGTGGAGAGTAAGGATATCGACTTCTGTGGTGGATTGCATTGAGTCTGTGTCCCTGTGCTGCAGGATAGAAATCAGTTTAAGGGAAAAAAATAGAAAATATGGCATAGTGCTACAGAATGGCTCTTGGAACATGTGGAGAGTTACAGGTTTTGGCGATGTATAGATATACATAGATACAGATATGTCTCTATATACAGATATAGATATATACACTCACACACGTATCTTCAGTTTGTTGCTAGAGATGTGAAGACTTGGGAATTCCATGTTATACACAATACAACGTCCAGCACGTTGCTCCCTTCCCTTATTTAAAAGCAGAAATAGTCTCTTGGTGTGGTCAGACATTGCCGTATTTTCCTCCTACTGAGTGCGCTACTTGGCCGGGTCCTTCTGCAGCTCTGCGTTACCCCCATCCTTCTGAAGTTCTCTTTATTTTTTAATGAATTTACCAGTAAAAATTCCATTTGCTTGGGAAATGGCTCGATAAAGGACGTGTATTTCCCATTCAGCATTTACCTCGAGTGGAAAGTTAGATCTGGACTTGAGGATTTTGAGATCTCTGTAGGAGTTTCCCCCTGTAATGCAAATTTACTTCAGCTTTTGTGTGTGTGCCCAGCCGCACACACCTCCATCAGTGGTCTGGGTTGTTAGAATAAAATAAAACTGACCATTTTGGCTGGAAGGGACCTGCAGTGGGTCCCGTTGAGGTGTTGGAGAGAGGGGTTGGTATTTCAGAGTAAAAATTCCCTTCACCTTACCTGTTCTGCAGGATTAAATCCCTGTCAGCTGTGTAGGACGCTGGAGTCAGGCTGTTTTGTAAAACACAATTAATTATCTTGTCGTAATTAATAACAACAGGGACTTTTGCCCCTGTTTCCCCTCTCGAAGCACAGAACCAAGCTTGATGTGAAGCGGCAGGGAGGGCAGCACTCACACTGGGTTTACAGGGAGGGTGACTCCAGTCAAGCTTTGTAACCCCTTAATTACAGTTGATGGGACCCAGCCCCTGACAGTCTTGAATCCAAGCATGTCAAGCAGGATTGAGATACGGGAAAGATAAGTAGGAAAATGCAGAGATATTTGTCTTAGTATTTTTGTCTTTGGCTCAGTGCACCCGATCAGTAAAGCCACGTTATTTCTCTGTTCACTTCTGCAGAGTTTTTGTGCTACCAACACCATGTAAAACCCACTGAAAGAAGTCAAGTAACAACTACTGGATGAATCTGACCGGGGCGGGGGTTTCTGTTCCTTCCACACATTTTCTTAACGACACGGCTTGCGTTTCAGGGCTCAGCAGACTCGTACACAAGCAGACCCTCGGACTCGGATGTCTCTCTGGAAGAAGACAGGGAAGCGATCCGGCAGGAACGAGAGCAGCAGGCGGCCATACAGCTCGAGAGGGCAAAGGTGGGTTCTTTGCAGCCTCAGTAATGACTCGGTTACCTGGCATTGATTCAAATTCACACCGTTCCTTTATAGCCATGCTGCTGTCTTCTGAAACAGTTTGGCAATGGAGTGAAGTTAACGCTAAGACGTCTGGGGGAATGTTGTGTGTGTTTATTGTGTAAATGAGGATCTGCTCAAGGGAGCTGAACTGTGCAGCTTATGGGAAATTATTAGGTCTGAATTCTGGTGTAATTGGCAAATACTCTCTGCTAGGTTTTCAGTAGTTTGATACAAGAAATCAGTTCGTGATCCAGAAAGGTTTCTGCTGTTTCTGATACGTGTTCCTGTTTGCAGTCCAAACCAGTGGCGTTTGCTGTTAAGACCAATGTGAGTTACTGCGGAGCTCTGGATGAAGATGTCCCTGTCCCAAGCACTGCCATCTCCTTTGATGCCAAGGACTTCCTACACATTAAAGAGGTAAAACTTCGTGTCACAGGAAGGAAATAACACCTCGCTGCATTTTAACCCCCTTCAACGTGGTGGATGCAGATTCTTTTCATTAAAAGATCAGAGATTATGTGATAGAAGTGGATACCATTGATGAAAAAATCACCAGGTTACACCAGCTCTTCATAAAGCCCCAGATAGGCTTGTAAGGGAGGAAATAAATCTTAGAGTAATACAGTTAGAAAAGGAGATATTGAAGAGGATGGATACAAAAATAAGGGAATAAATGGACCCTGAGTATGGCTTTGGTAGAGAAAAACACATTTCTTTGCATGTTTTCTGCAGTTCTTTATCTGAAGCGAGCTCTCCAAATTTGCATAAACCCCTGGTGTTTTGTAGATTTTTACATAGGCTTGCAGCTTGCAAAAACACTTCTTTATCTCTGCATTCTGGGTTAATTTTAGGCTGTTCAGTACTCTCATCTGTCTCTTTCTTTGAACATGTGTCTGTCATCGCTTCAGAGCACTCATCTCCCTTACACTGAGCATATTTTGGGGGAAAACACCTGCTTCTGCACCTCTGGAGGCAGATAAAGGATAAATCCTTTCTCTATGGGAAGGACACAGGGGACGCAGCTGATTCCCTTGTTCCGTTTTCTCCAACAGATGGAAGTTTGATGGGTTTTGGTTTTTTTTTTTAATATTTGTGTGGAACGGTGCTTAAACCCCTGTTGAAGGAGTGGATCTGCCTTTCTGTGCATGCAGAATTGGTTGTCTCCTTCCTCATTCCCCAAAAATGTGTTCTGTCTGGCACCACACCTGGGTGTGCACCACCTTCTAACCCTGCTCCCCATCAGGGAAAGGTCCTTTATTTGCACTCAGTGTTGGATGCAGACAGCCACATCCTTTACAGATCGCTTTCCCAGCTACCTTTCCCAGAATGCTCCCATCCACACCAGTTCAATTTTGGGATTGACAGCATTTCAGGAGCGGTTCCCCATGCTGGAATCTGTATCTGCATGGAAAAAGGCTTTGCAGAATTTGTTTTTTGGGGATCTGCTTGGTCTAGGACAAGCGTGGTCCCAGATTTTAGCATAGCACTAGAGCAGGGAGGAAGTTAGATCACTGTGCCGAGAGGATGAAGCAGCAGCAGTGAGCGATGAGCTGCTATATTGAGATGTGTCCTGCGCGTCTCATCCGTCTCCTCAAGACCATACATTACGTACTTCAGGGATGAAGTGGCAGCAAATCTGACGACGCAGGAGGAGTCATGGGCATGGCAAGCAACGGGGATGAGCTGTGGTCCTCCCACATCACGCGCAGAATAGCACATGGGAGGTGGTGACTGTGTGCAGAGAGCCCTGCGCGTCCCTTGCACTGCTCAGATATTCCCAGCATCCTGCTGGTCCTGAGCTCCTGTCCACCATCGCTGCATGTCTGTGATGTGGATTATGCATTGTATCTATTATATAGAAATAAAGACTATATATATATATATATA